TCTGTGTTTTCCTTGATCTGTCTCTCACTCCGTTGAAGATACCTAAATATAATTCTTTTGAATTCTTTCTCAGGGAGTTCCAGTGCTGCATCTTCCTCAGGGATGTGTTTTGGGTCTGTATCCTGGTCCCTTGTTTCCTCTACTTTATCTTGTTTCTTTGTGTGGATTGTGATGCTTTGTTGTCTCTGAGGCATTGTGACATTTTTGTGTTTGTATTTAATTGGTGATTGTATATTGGAGTGACTTGCCCATGATTTTTGTTTTCTTTGTATGTTATCTACACAAGCAGGGTACTGTGCTCCTCTATTCACTAGTTGACAGCACTTATACACTCACCACCTGTCTCTTTTCCTGTTGTCAGCCTCTCAAATGTCCCTGCCAACCTTGGCAAACAGAGCCTATTATTAGGTCCCTGGAATCTGAATGAGAATGTTATCACTTTAAAATCCAAAATGGTTGCCACTTGTAAAGATTCAAAATGGCTGTGCTCTTGGTCACTTTAAATATTCAAAATGGCCACCACTTGTAAACATTCAAAATGTCTGCACCCTTGGTCACTTAAATATCCCAAATGACCACCACTTGTAAAAATTCAAAATGACTGCACCCTCAGTCACTTTAAGTATTCAAAATGGCTGCCACATATGGCCAATCAAAATAGCTATGCCCTCCAGACAGTGGAAAGTCAACAGCTCAGACTATCTCCCTCCTTGCTGTTTCCCTTCCTGGTCATAGACCACCAGAGTAGTCATCCCTGTAGCCCTTGGTGACCAGGGCTGATCTTTAGGTCAATTCTCAGGTCCCAATACCACTTGGAAATATTCAGGCTGTTGGTCCCGTCAGAGTAGCTGACAGTCCACAGCTCCGACTGTCCCTGTACTCATTGTTTTCGTTCAGGTTTTTCCACTAGCTGGTGCCTAATCCACTTCTGTATAGTTTCTTTCAAACCTCAGGGCTCCAGGAATATCTTCTGTATCCCTGTCAACTGATTTTTCTTTTCTTTGTTGAAGAGGGTCTGTGTTGCTTGTCTGTCTATTCCTCCATCTTACCAGAAGTCTGAACCATTCTCTTTTTAAGAAGAATGTGAAATTTAGATTTTGTGGATCGAGTCACTTGGAGCCTCCTTTTCTTCTAGGATTCCCAGAGGGAGGGCAGGCTGGGTCTGGGACTGAGGCTCAGGGCCATGGCATTTTCCTCTGAGCCCTGCTAACTGAGGCCTCACAGAGAAACCCAGTGTGGAGGACTGTGTTAGCATTCTGTCGGCTGGAAAGGTTTGGAACTTCCCTCTTCTCCACAGACGAATCAAATGGCTTCCCTGTAGGAAATCAATAGAATATCTATCAAGGCCTCTTCTGGGTTTGGTGCAGTGCTGGGCTCTGCAGGGGTACAGAAAACTAGAAGAGGGAAGTGTGGTCTTCTCCCTGAAGCAGCACTCTGTGTTGGCTGGAGAGTCCAGAGTAAGCCTGGCAAAGCTGAGTGATGCTCTAAGCAAGTTTGAGTTCAGAGCGGGCAGAAGGAGACAGACCTACCTCTGTGGAGAGCCTAGGCCCAAACTTGGTTTTAGGAGATGAGTGGGAAATGTCTGGGAACAGAAAGGAAAATGTTTATTGAGCTAGTTTGTGTGCCAATTTCCTTCAAATTCTTTTAATTCCTCACCTTAGTGCCATAAACCTCAAAAACCAAACCCACTACCACTAAATTGATTCTGAGTCATGGTGACCCAATAGGACAGAGTAGAACCGTGCCATAGGGTTTCCAATGGTGTAAATCTTTATGGAAACAGACCACCTCATCTTTCTCCTGAGGAACAACATGTGGGTTCAAACTGCTGACCTTTCGGTCAGCAACTCTTTAACCACTGCACCACAAGGGTGCCTCTTCTTAGAGCTGTAGCTACACCCAAAAGGCAGTTTTGATACTGAGGGGCTTTCTCCAAGCAGAGGGAGAAGAAAACTGTATTTGTTTCCTCTGGCTGCCATAAAAATACCACAAACTGGTTGGCTTGTAAGAACAGAAATTCACTTTCTTACAATTCAACCTGGAAGTCTGAATTCAGGGTGTTGGTAGGGCCGTGCTCTAGGGGAAGATCCTTTCTTATTTCTCCTGGCTTCTGGTAGTCCCGGGTGTTCCTTGACTTGCAACTGCACCTTCATATGGCCATCTTTCCCCTGTCTGTCTCTGTACATCTCTTCCCTGCCTCATTTAATCACCTTTGCAGGAGGTGGGACACATTTGTTCTCAAGTTGTCTGACTTGGTGATCCCATGTGTGTCAGGGTTTCCAGTGGCTGATTTTTTGGAAGTAAATCACTAGGCCTTCTTTTGAGTACCTCTGGGTAGACATGAACCTTCAACCTTTCAGTCAGAAGCCAAGTGTGTTAACTATTTGGACTACCAAGGGACTGCAGGAAGACAGTCACCCCCTCTCCTGGATGCAGTAACTTGCAGGCTGTGGGTTCAGTGGTGACCCCAAATGGCCAACAGTGCAGAACTGGGGCCTGAGTCCAGGCCCATCTGGCTTCAGGGGCTCTACTTCCACACCTCACATGTTCCTGACATAAACCCCAACATCCAGTGTGGGAAAGATGCTCATATTAAAAGTTGTCTTGCCTGGAAAGCTAATATTTATTCTATGCCTCATGTTTTAGACATTATTTTTGTAGATATGTCCCTATCTATTTGACATGTTCTTTAATTTTGTTCTTTTCTTTTGCAACTGAACTATGCTTAACAACTTCCATCTAAGATACAAATATGTAGTTAGTTTCCAGGACCTATGCTTTTGGTTGCTAGTGTCAACACTTTTCTTTAACCATTTTCTACTCATTCTTAGAAAATAATGCTGCAAGGCCAAAAATGCAATAATTGCACAAAAACACACAAAGTCCACATTAGGTGAATAAAAAGGATGCCAATCAATTAGCCTCTGCCACACGTATGCAAGCCCCCAGAAAAATGTGAATCAAAGGCTCCTGTTGCTGGTCGAGTTCCAAAATAATGACTAGAAAGTCAGTTGTAGCTCAGATAGAACTTTAATAAGGGAATAATTTGTAAGATGGAGACACATGGGGCCAGAGGCAACACCGTGTGTGTCTCCCTGAGCCTTACAGGCTAGGGGGCTTTATAATAGTTTTAAGGCTGTGGGGAATGGGATTCATAAGACCTTATGCTGACAGGTTACAAAAAACCCTGACGCTTTTGCGAAAGTCAGGAAGCGGAACTAGGCTGCAATAAATTCCTAATGATAAATCTCAGCTTCCTTCAGTCTAGGTGCATGTGCAATCTCTTTCTAAGATGGAGTTTGTGTGTTTCAACATGGATGCCACAACTTCTGTGCAGGTGTATTCTGCTGTTTGCTCTTAGTTGGAGTCTTGGTTTCATCTTAAATTTGCCACCTGCAAAAAGGACATGGAGGCCTCATATTCTGACCTCCTCTAATCCCGCAAGAGGAAGACAGAATCACCATCAATAGCCCAAGGCCTATTCCTGCCAGGCCAGACATGCTGCCTCCCTCCAGCCCTTTCTCCAACTGTTCCTCCCAAAGCACCCACCACCTCTCTCCTGGGTTCAATAATTCGCTGCAGTGGCCACACAGAACTCACAGGTTACGGGCTTTATTAGGGAAGCACCAGGCTACAATTCAAGTTCAGGAAAAACAGTCTCTCTTCCAGCCTACCGTCCTTCAGCCAACAGTCTCTCACAGTCTCTTTCCCAGCAGTGCTGGTCCCTCAGTGTCTCACTCAGCAGCATATGTCTCTTTCAGGAGCACGTGTCTCTTTCAGCAGCACGTCTTCCTCAACCAGCAGTCAGAGAGATTCTGCCTCTAGGAGGCCTCCTTTTGGGCTTGGCAGAGTGGCCAAACGAGCCAATCATAGCACCAGAACTCTAAGCACCTGAGAGAGAACCTCCCAAAACATTGCATTGTGCCACGCCCAACAGAAGTAACCCAGGTGGATAACATTTACAATCAGAAGCTCCTCAGTTGCTCATTCCACCACTGAATTTACAATGACTTATGGGTAGAAAAGCCATACTAAGTAATTTACTACACTGCACCATCTTAGTTCATCAGGCAGTAAAGGAGGGCTAGGATGGGAAGGCTCTAAAACCAGTTAATGCTGACCATGGGTAGTGGGCTTGAAAACACCTCAAAAATGGCCTGTTATGAGGCAACACCACCTAAGTAGTAAACTTACATTTGTGTGATTTCTCTTGCAGTGTCCCTTCGTTGGTCTCAGGATCTGAGGAATGTCATTGCCCTGTCCTGTGAGCTATTTCTGTCTTGGGTTTATGATCTTAGGAATGTGGTTGCAGAGGCAGGATTCTTCTGTGATTATGGCTTTGAGTATAGAATAAGGCAATGTTTAAATCGAACAAGATTAATATGGAGCTTTAGGTTATGAAGTTAAAACACATAGTCATCTCCCAGAAATTCTAGTGTGTCTATACTCTTACACTCTGAGATCCTGTCCCCACCACTGGCAATAAACCTTGCTACAGAAGGGTATTTGATTTCCCTTACCTAGGTTTGCTGTGAACTTTCAGACTGGTTTCAATGAAAATGATATTGCCTTCCACTTCAACCCCCGGTTTGAAGAGGGCGGGTATGTGGTCTGCAATACGAAACAGAATGGATCCTGGGGGCCTGAGGAGAGGAAGTTCCAAATGCCTTTCCAGATGGGGAATTCCTTTCAGATCTGCTTCCTGGTACAGAGCTCAAATTTCCAGGTGAGTAGGAATAGCATAGTGCCTAAGGCACTTGACTGCTAACCAGAAGGATGGCAGTTCAAACCCACCAGCTACTCCTCGGAAGGAAGGTTGGGCAATCTACTTCTGTACTGATACCACCTCGGAAACCCAAGGAGGGGTCACTATGAGTCGGGGCGACTCAACAGCACATAACAACAACAGGAACCCTCCTACTTCTCCCCTAACCCCATCCCCAGGCTCCCAGTCCTCCCATCCCTCACAGCCCCATCAGATTGAGTGAATGGACTTTAAGACTCACATTCATTGAGATCAGGTGATAGCAACACTGTTATACAAACACAAGACATTGCCTTGTAAGTTCCTTACCAATGGTTACACAGTCTCTTTGCACACCTTCACCTGCATCAAGAAGTTCACCTACTGCTTCTTTTACTCAGAAAAGCAGAACTAGCTACATCACCATGTTGTTTCTTGGCCTTGTGCATCTTTAAAGGGAGCTCGGGTGGCACAGTGGTTAAAGCATTTGACTGCTAACCAAAAGGTTGGCAGTTCAAACCCACCAGTCACTCTACAGGAAAAAGACATGGCAGTCTGCTTCCATAAAGATTTGCATCCTTGGAAAGCCTTTGGTACAGTTCTACTCTGTCTTATAGGGTCCTTTGAGTCAGAATTGACTCAATGGCAGTAAATTTTGGCATCTTAGGCAAAAAAATATACTTACTGTTGAGTGGACTCCAACTCACGGAGACCTCATGTGTGTCTGTATAGCACTGTGCACTACAGGGTTTTTAATGCTGATTTTTTGGAAGTAGATCACCAGGTCTTTTTTCTGAGGGACCTTTGGGTGGACTCAAATTTCCAACCTTTTGTTGAATAGCCAAACACATTAACCATTTGTACCACCACTTGTCTGTCAGCTTGTCATATGCTGTTAGCTTGTGTGTTGCTGTGAGGCTGGAGGCTACGCCATCAGTATTTCAAATACCACCGGGGTCACCCATGGTAGACAGGCTTCAGCAGAGCTTCCAGACTAAGACTGACTTGGAAGAAGGAAGGAGCCATCCACTTCTCAAAGAATTGACCAATGAAAACGTTATGAATGGCAGTGAAATACTGTCTGATATAGTGCTGGAAAACTTGATGAACAGCCCTGAAACACTGTCTGACGTAGTGCCGGAAGATGAGCCCTTCAGGTTGGAAGACACTCAAAATACAGCCGGGGAAGAGTTGCCTCCTCAAAGCAGAGTTGATCTTAGTGGATGTGGATGGAGTAAAGCTTTTGGTCCTCCATTTACTGATGTGGCACAACTCAAAATGAGAAGAAACATCTGCAAACATCCATTAATAATTGGAGCATGGAATGTACAAAGCATGAATCAAGGAAAATTGGTACTTGTCAAAACTGAAATGGAATGCATAAAAATCAATACCCTAGTCATTAATGAGCTGAAATGGACTGGTTTAGGCCATTTTGAATCAAACAACCATATGATCTACTATGCTGGGAATGACAAATTGAAGAGGAATGGCTTGGCATTCATCGTCACAAAAAAGGTTTCAAGATATATCCTGAAGTACAATGCTGTCAGTGATAGGGTAATATACATACCCCTACAAGGAAGACCAGTTAATGCTACTATTATTCAAACTTACACACCAACCACCAAAGCCAAAGACAAGGAAATGAGATTTTTACCAACTTCTGCAGTCTGAAATTGACTGAACATGCAATCAAGATATGTTGATTATTACTGGTGATTGGAATGCAAAAATTGGAAACAAAGAAGAATATCACCAGTAATTGGAAAATATGGCCTTGGTGATAGAAATGACACTGAAGATTGCATGATAGAATTTTGCAAGACCAATGACTTATTCATTGCATATACCTTTTTTCAGCAACATAAATGGTGGCTGTACACATGAACTTCACTAGATGGGATGCACAGGAATCAGATTGACTACATATGTGGAAAGAGGCAATGGAACAGCTCAACATCTTCAGCCAAAACAAGGCTAGGAGCTGACTGTAGAACAGACCATCAACTGCTCAACTGCAAGTTCAAGTTGAAGCTGAAGACCATTAAAACAAGTCCATAAGAACCAAAATATGACTTTAATTACATCCCACCTGAATTTAGAGACCATCTAAAGAATAGATTTGATGCATTGAACACCAATGACTGAAAACCAGAGGAATTGTGAGATGACATCAAGAGCATCATCCATGAAGAAAGAAAGAGGAAGAGGAAGAAAAAAGACAGAAAAGGAAGAAAAGACCAAAATGGATGTCAGAGGATATTATGAAAGTTGCCCTTGAATGGAGAGCTGTTGTTGTTGTTGTTGTTGTTATGTGCCGTCGAGTCGGCCCCGACTCATAGCGACCCCTCCTTGGGTTTCCGAGGCAGTATCACTACGGAAGTAGGATTGCCCAACCTTCCTTCCGAGGAGTGGCTGGTGGGTTTGAACCACCAGCCTTCTGGTTAGCAGTCAAGTGCTTTAGCCACTATGCTACCAGAGCTCCTTGGATGGAGAGTAGCTAAAGCAAATGGAAGAAATGACAAGATCAAAGAGCTGAACAGAAGATTTTTAAAGAGCAGCTTGAGAAGACAGAGTCAATTATTATAATGAAATGTGCAAAGGCCTGGAGTTGGAAAACCAAAAGGGAAGAACACACTCAAGCTGAAAGAACTGAAGAAAAAATTCAAGCCTTGAGTTGCAATATTGAAAGATTCTATGGGCAAAACATTGCATGATGCAGGAAGCATCAAAAGAAAAATGGAAGGAATACACAGAGTCACTGTACCAAAAAGAATTGATCAATGTTCATCTATTTCAGGAGGTGGCATATAATCAAGAACCAATGGTATTGAAGGAAGAAGTCAAAGTGGCACTGAAGTAACTGGTGAAAAACAAGGCTACAAGAATTGATGGAATATACATTGAGATGTTTCCACAAACAGATGCCATGCTGGAGGCACTTACTCATCTATGCCAAGAAATTTGGAAGACAGCTACCTGGCCAACTGACTGGAGAGATCCATATTTGTACCCATTCCAAAGAAAGGTGATCCAACAGAATGTAGCAATTATTGAACAATATCATTAATATCACCCACAACTAAAATCTTACTGAAGATAATTCAAAAATGATTGCAGCAATATATTGACAGAGAACTTACAGAAATGCAAGCTGGATTCAGAAGGTGACATGGGACGAGGAATATCATTGCTGATGTAAGATGGGTCTTGGGTGAAAGCAAAGAATATCAGAAATATGTTTACTTGTGTTTCACGGACCATGCAAAAGCATTAGATTGTGTGGATAATAACAAATTATGGATAACACTGAGAAGAATGGGAACTCCAGAACATTTGATAATGCTCATGAGAGGCCTGTACATAGACCAGGAGGCTGTCGTTCCAACAGAACAAGGAGACACTGCGTGGTTTAAAATCAAGAAGGGAGTATGTCAGGGTTGTATCCCTTCACCATATTTACTCCATCTCTATGCTGAGCAAATAATCTGAGAATCTGGACTATATGAAGAAGAATGCAGCATCAAGATTGGAAGAAGACTCATTTACAACCTAAAAATATGCAGACAATACAACCTTGCTTACTGAAAGTAAAGATGACTTGAAGCACTTACTGATGAAGATTAAAGACTACAATCTGCAGTATGGATTATATCTCAAGATAAAGAAAACAAAAATCCTCCCAATAAGACCAGTAAGCAGCATCATGACAAATGGAGAAAAGATTGAAGTTGTCAAAGATTTCTTATTACTTGGATCCACAATGAACACCCATGGAAGTAGCAGTCAAGAAATCAGACATTGTATTGCACTGGGGAAATCTGCTGCCAAAGACCTCTTTAAAGTGCTGAAGAGGTTATCATGATAACATTAGGAAAAGGGAGGACACTGAATTGTCCACTTAAGATATAAATGACAGAGGCTAATACCAGTATATCCACAATATTGCATTACCATTAACACCAAACACCAGGCTACAGATAAACACATAAACATCTGAGAAGATCAGATGGGGGTCCGTGAACAGGATAAATAGATAAATAAATAAATAAAGTGCTGAAAAGCAAAGATGTCTCTCTGAAGACTAAGGTGCACCTAACCTAAACCATGATATTTTTAATTGCCTCATATGCATGTGAAAGCTGGACAATAAATAAGGAAGCCTGGAGAAGAGTTGATGCTTTTGAGTTGTGGTGTTGGTGAAGAATACTGAAAGTACTATGGACTGCCAGAAGAAAGAACAAATCTATCTTGGAAGAAGTGCAGCTGGAATGCTTCTTGGAAGAGAGAATGGCCAGACTTCGTCTCATCTACTTTGGTCATGTTGTCAGAAGGGAACATTCCCTGAAGAAGGATATCATACTTGGTAAAGTGGAGGGTGAGAGAAAAAAGGGAAAGAACACCCTCAACAAGATGGACTGACACAATGGCTGCAATCATGGGCTCAGGTATAGCAAGGATCGTGGAGCTGACACAGGACCAGGCAGTGTTTCATTCTGTTGTACATGGGGTCTCTATGAGTAGAGCCAACCCAATGGAACCTAGCAACAACAACTACCACCCAGGGACACCTCTTGGAAGTCCAATTCCATCCCTCTGCTATAGCGCCTCTTCCGCTCCAGGTCCCTGATAATGTCTAGTTTTCTGCAACAGTGTACCAGTCTTTACCTAGGTCCTATTTTAAGCCATTGCAAATTACTTTTGCAAGCAATGTCTTTCAACTTGGTAAACTGAGTGCAGGAGAGTAAATTGCTATCCATGCTTGGCTGTGTGAATATGGGAATGGCCACACACTCAGTGTAAAACCTGGGGTTGCCTTTCCCCTGCTCCCCAGTGAACATCCCTACTGGTGATGCATAGGTAATTAATACCCCAGGTGAGCTGTGATTAGGAAGACAAACCTACTGCAGTAAATCAACGAACACACCATGAGAATTCAATTAAAGCCAAGTATAGATTTGGTTTGTATGCGCTTTGGATCCCATGCGCATTCCTGTAACTAGCACAGGATGGATGTGAAATTTGCCTGGGGCTTACTTTCAGGAAACAGGGGGCCAGGAGGCTCAGGTGTGCTCCTCCACCTGACCTAGAATTTCTCTCCTGGAATTTGCACTCCTTTGGCAGGTGACAGTGAACGGGAACCATTTCTTGCAGTACTCACACCGTGTACCCTTCCACCGAGTGGACACCATTTCCGTCAACGGTGCTGTGCAGCTATCCTACATCGGGTTCCAGGTCAGATTGTCCACCTGGCACCTGTCCCGGGGGCTGTGTTGGGCTCAGTCTAGCTGTGCCTAGACTCTGTTGGGTGGCCTTAGAGAACCAGCCTAGTCTTCTGCCCGGGTGACTTTGGGTACACACTTCTGGCTCCCGTGTGCTGGTGTCGGCTCTCCTCCTTCTCTTTCTTCATACCCTTCCTTGTGTCATGATCTCTGTCTTGAGCAGCTGCCTAAGTCATGAGACTCTTCAGCCATTTGTCTCTGTTACTTTCCATTTCTGCCCTAGTTAGGAGGCAGTGTGATTCCAGAAAGAGCCCAGGCTTGGGAATCAGGCTGAATCCAGCTCAAATTCCCAGCTCAGCCATGCTCATTGGCTGTGGGGTCCTTAGATGAGTGACAGCCTCTCCCAGCCTCAGTATCCTCATCTGTAGAATGAGCATAATCATTGCCTTCCCATGGGATATTGTGTGGCTTCAATGAGACAATATATGTCAGAGGGTCACAAAATAGACCCCATGGGCCTCACAAGGGACTATCTGACCCCTCATGTTTTAAACATTTTAAATGTGTTGCCAATGTCTAATAGATCAGGAGTTACCGCAGGGAAATCTGGATCTCTGGTGTTTCATGAAAAATGGGAAGATTGAGGTATGCTGGATCCACATTCTCATAGCTGGATTGGAGCTGCTGCTGTCACAATGAGCATTTGAGTAGGCTACCCTGGGATGAGTAAAGCACACAGTAGGCCCACAACACAAATGGGTTCCTGTCCCTTTGGTCCTCGTCTCTCCTGTTCCTTCCCTACCCACTCTCTCCCCTATGGGATGGGAGAGAGACCTACAGCCTGCTGTATTCACTGGTGTCTAATTCTCTCTCGCCCTCTGTACCACCATCCTCATTCCTCTGCTTAAATCAAACATTAAGAACTACATTCAAGCCCAGCTTGTTCCCATCTTGCCCCTCGCCTCGCCTTTCCATTCTTTTTTTGGCTCCATTAATACTTGTGTCCTCTCTGTGGTGCTTTTTGTTTTAACAGAACAGCTGTGCAGCCCCCATGCAGCCCTTCTTCTCCACGGTGCAATTCTTGCAGCCTGCCCATTTGGCCCCCAAGCCCAAGGGGCGCAGACCAAAAGTGAGCAAGCCTGGAGGGCTGGGGGGCTGAGTGGTGGCAGGGAAGGAAAGAGGGTGTGAGGGGCAGGTTCCAACTGCAGGCCACCAGGATCTTCAGGCCTCATCATGTCCACGCAGGGGCTCCTTGCCTCCATCTACCTGGCGCCTGCGAGTTGTCCTTGGCTCCTCCCACTTCCTCTTTAATATCTCTCCACTATGTCAGCTTCTTTCCCTCTGTGCAGGCCACCATGATTCTTAGTCAAGAGGACCATGGCCTGATTCCCCACTCCTGCCTCCCGTGCACCCACTGCCTCAGTGACCTTCCTATAAGCAAATCTGATCACATCCCCTCTGCTTAAAAATCTTAGTGCCCCAAGCCTTCCAAATAAAGCCTAAATTCCCCAGTAGGACATACGGAATTCTTCCCAGTCTTCCCATAACCTAGTCTTACTTTTCACCCATGGAGCTCATCCAGCCTCCACTGCTCATAAACCCTCTCAGGTATCACACTTTCTCACATACTGTCCCCAGTGCCAAAAACAACCTTTGCCCACCTCACCTCCCAGCAGACTCCTAACCCCTTCAATACTCTTCCTAAATGTTGCTCCTTTGTAGAGTTTTTCCTGCCTGGGAGATTGTTGAATGTACCCCTTTGTCTCCTCATGGACTTTGTGCATATCTGTGCCATGTTATGTTGTCATTTTGTTTACCATTCTGTCCTCATCGCTGCAGCCTCACCTTTCTTATGTCCATGAGCCCCTTAAGGGCTGGGATCATAACTTGTCCATTTATGAACCCCCAGCACTTTGCCCAGTGCCTAGTGTGCTCCAGGGACTCAAATAGTGAATGTGGACAGTAGTTTGCACAGGCAGGGCAGGCAGAATGGGGGACCAGCGAGGACAAGAACAATTTGCTGGGTGGAGACAGGATCCAGGACAGAAAGGGAAGTGGCATCCACCCTTCCTTTGACCACCCAAGAAGTGAGGGCTGGGGGAAGGGAAGTTCTATTTACCCAGCCTTCCTATGCCCCATCATGGTATAGATGGGGTACCTGCCTTGTGCTACAATGACTTCAGGACTGGCAAGCTCCAGGGAACCTTTAAGGGACAGCCTAACTTTGGCCTTTCCTGGTAAGAATGGACATAGGATGTGTTGGGTACATTCAGACAGTACTGGGTACTATGTTGGATTTTACCACTTGCAACCTTGGTAAGTATGGGCAAGTTGCTTAACCTTTTTGAGCCTGGTTGCCTCACCAGCAAAACAGGAGCTAATGATGCCTCTCTCATTGCAAAGCATGAAAGCCCAGAGCTTGACATGTAGTAGGCCTTCAATAAATGCCAGTTCCCATCTCATGGGTGAAATATGGCATGGTTTTTTGCCTTTGGAGCTAATGAAGGCTATTTGGTTGATATCAGACCTATCCTTCTTTCTCTGGGGGAGCCAATAGGAATATTCTCCCTTCGCCAACACCCAACCCTCACTCATCTTGTTCCATAACCATAAGTGTACCTGGGATGGTGTGTGAGAATCTGGGTGCCATGGGCTCAAAAAGGCTTACCTGAGAGCGGGAAAGGAGCAGGAAGGCATTTCTTACCATAAGAACTCACCTAGAATTCAGCCATCATCTGTGCCCCTCATGTGGTGCCAACAATAATTACCATTTAGATTTTCTCATCCCTTTCAGCCTCCAGGCATTTGGCCTGCCAACTCAACCCCCGTGGTAAGTCTCTTGCTCTCTCTTCAGATTCTTTTAATTTCTTCTTGTGGGTTAAAGTGACAAGGCAGGACCAGGCACTGGGTTTCCACCATGGGGAGGGAGGAGAGCCAAGGCCAGACCCCTTAACCATCTGCCTGGCTTTGGTGGTGGCACTGGATAAGTTGCTTAACCTTTCTGGGGGTTAAGCTTGGAGTAGGAAGTGTGGGAGGTAGGGGAGTGTGGTTTGCTCACCCTGATGAATGGGGAACCAACCAAATGGGGATTGCTCAAGCCTCTTTCCTTCTGCGGGCAGCCACAGAAGACTAAGACCCCAAATTTAGCTCTTCCTGTAAAGTGAGACTATCCTGAGAGAAATTTCCCTGAGAAGAAAGATGGTCCAGAGGCCTCAAGTGTAGCCTATTTCATCTCCAGGAACTCTCAGTTTGTACCCTGCCCCATTGCATTGAGAGAAGAAACACTTCTACCCACTCATTTTGGGAGTCCAGCCATAGCCATAGATTGCCAATACACCCAAGGTTAAGTTACCTCAGAGGTGCTCTCTGATGGTAAGTGGTGGTGAGAGCTTGTTAAGATGCCAATTTCTTTCTTCCAGTCTCAAACGTTCATCCACACGGTTCATGGCACCCCTGGACAGATGTTTCCGGTTGCTGGACAGATGTTTCCTGTAAGTCTGAAAATTCTGGTCAGCCCACAGCCCCATCATTTCCACCTCCACCAAGGACTTAATTCCCTAGAGACCTAGCACTGGAAAAAAATGATTAAGCAAGGAAGATGAGATTATTTGAGGCTGGGCCCACTGCTCCAAAGATGTGCAGCTTAGACTTTCCTTGGGAGAGCAAACATTCTAAACCAGGCTGTACTTACCCAGTGCTCAAAGGGCAGATCCTTTAGGAACTACTAGGAAAATTGATGGGGTCCAGGAACATAGCTGGATATTCCGTGAAGGTCAACATGAGAAGGCAGGTGAATGGCAAAACTCAAGGGGTAGAAGCCTCCTGACCTCAGCCCCATATCAGAACATCCCCATTAGAGTGTGCGGGTGCCTGTGTGTGCACAGCCTCATTGAATGTCCTGGTCTCTTTTCAACAGAATCCTGCACCACCACCTACGGCATACCCTAGCCCAAACTATGTAAGTGGTTTCTCAGGGAGGGACAGAGGCTTTGCTTGTCTTAGGCAAAGTGGAATATGAAGGGCAGCATGGGGGTGACCCACTGGCCTTGCAAAATTCAAAGCTGAAGTTTCTAAAAACAGCCAAGTATATTAGAAGACTGTTGAAAGGAACGTGTGATTTTAAAACGGTCTCTTCAACATGATCAAATCATGTGGCTCCCCTTTTTCAGCCCAGGTGTCTTTTTGTGTCCTTTCATGATGGCTTAAGTGCATTAATTTGAAGAACACTGAAAAGTTTTCCTTTGGTATTTACTAGACCAAGTAAAGATAGTGTGAGGTGCTTTCTCTAAACTATGTTACTCATGGGCACTGCTGCCAAGCTTGGACATGGAAATCTGTACAAAATTCCCCTCCTCCAGTGGCTGGGGGAGGCTCTGGTTGCTACTGGCTGACCTATCCCCTCCTCCCACAGTCGCTGCCTTACTTCACTGCCATCCCAGGTGGGCTGTACCCATCCAAGTCCATCATGGTGTCAGGCACTGTCCTGCCTAATGCCCAGAGGTAAGCTGGGGCACCAGGTCTCTCAGAGATAAGAGAGGCCCCCAAAGCCATTCTGGCCAACCCCCTAACCTGGGTAGGCTGAGGAGGAGGAGGAAGAGAGGGACTGGGTTCCAGACCTCAGTGAGCAAAGGAAGCCAATGTGAGCTGCCCACCTGCAGGTTCCACATCAACCTGCGTTCTGGGGGTGACATTGCCTTCCACCTGAACCCCCGCTTCAACGAGAATACTTTGGTTCGCAACACCCAGATCAACAATTTTTGGGGGCCTGAGGAGCGTAGCCTGCCTGGAAAAATGCCTTTCCTCCGTGGCCAGAGCTTCTTGGTAAGGGGCTGCTTCCTGGAGCACAGAGGGGCTTGTGGGAGGCAAAGGGAGGAGTGGGGTGGAGGAGGCCTGGGCATACTTTGAATGGGATGGAGGCTGATGCTTCTAGGGTGAGGGTTGGGTCTAGAAGAAGGCAAAGTAGCCAAACAATTATTATTAGTGTTATTGTTATTTTCAGTTTTATTATTATTATTGTCCCACACAAGATTTTTACAGATGAAGAAACAAACTCACAAGTGCAGGTAACTTGCCTGAAGTCACACAGCCAATAAATGCCAAATCAAATCTGTAAATGAAATGTCACCCATTCACTCACTCAATTATTCAAACTAATTCATTTATCAACTATTTTATGGAGGGCCACTTCTTGCAAGAAGCATCCTAGGTGCTGAGGACACAGCCATAAAAAAAAATTGACAAGGTCCTACTCCCATAGAGTTTACAATCTCAGTAAGGAACAAGAAAACAGTTGTACTAACAAGATCATTGCAGATAAGGACTGGTGCTTGCAGAAGGCAACAGAATCCTGGGGTGCAGTGAGCCCCAGAGCAGAGAAGCAAGGATCTCAAGGGTGGGGGTGGGAGAGCATTCATAGCAGTAGAGAACAGTTAGAGCAAGTATGACAGTCATGGGCGTGGCCTGTCAAGAAAGAGCAAGGCCAGGGACTGCGAGGTAGAGAGTGAAGGCAGAGGTGTGAGGTGAGGATGCTGAAGGTCTCAGGACAGAGCAGGCATTTTCAACCCTGACAATACATTCAGATCACAAGTGAGCTTAAAAAAAATCAATGCCTGGACTCTACCCTAGAACAGTGAGGGAATGAGCCTGTAAAATATGCTCCACTACTCAGCAACCAGCTCTGGTGGTGTAGTGCCTAAGGCACTTGACTGCTAACCAGAAGGCTGGTGGTTCAAACCCACCAGCCACTCCTCGGAAGGAAAGTTGGGCAATCTACTTCCATAGTGATACCACCTCGGAAATCCAAGGAGAGGTCGCTGAGTCGGATCCCACTCAATGGCAGTGAGTTTGTAACTATTTATTTTTAGCAGGTCAGACTTCAAAATATGGTAATACAGGAAAGGGCAACCTATTGTATATATCTAAAAGTACATGTGAAGAGTTAATAAACTCAATAAGTGATAAAGTCCAATCAGGTATTTTCACTGAAATAAGTATAGCTTGATATTTCAGTTTGTTTATAGATTCCACTCCTGACCTTTCTTAGACAAATCAATTAAGTATTGTTTTAAGATATGTGTCTCCAGGAGATGGAGAATCTGACAAGCGATTTATCACATTTACTAGCTTAAAAAGTCATACCAGTGAATAAATTATGTGAAGTTTGCAAAACTGATTTTTCTAAGGGCAGAGGCCAGTCCTATGACAATGCTACCAATATGTCAAGGTATTATAAAGGCATGCAACAGAAAATTTTAGAATGTAATGAATATGTCATTTTCATACCATATGTTGTGCCTTCACTTAACCTTGTAGGACATAGTGCAGTAGATTATTGTCCAGAAACAGTTATTATTTTTTTTCTACTGTTCAGTTTTGCACACATTTTTTGCTGCCTCTACTCACACTGATGGGCAATTCTTAAAATATTTAAGCAATTGACTGAGTATTAAAATATCTTTCTAAAACACATTGGGATGCACATGGTATGCAATCCTGGAATTGTACACTCAGATTCTAGACACCTTAGAAAATATTGCAAAGGCTAGACACAAAAAAGAGATACCAAAAGAGAAAACATTGCCAACAAAATGCAAACACTAGAGTATGTATTTATGTTGGCTATGTGGAATAATATATTGCAACATTTTCAATGAATGAGTCAATGAGTCTCTCCAAGATTCAGTAGCAAATTTAAAGACATACATGGATCTCTACCAGGGTATGTACATAAGTTAAGAGAAGATTTTAACAATTTTTCAAAATACAACAAAATAAATACAGTCAAATACTGATTATCAAGCAGTTCACTGTCACAGAAGCATTAGAAATAAGTAAATGATGGAAGTCCTCCAGAAGTATTGAGTACCAGTGATCAATTTCACATAATCACATACTATATCATCACAGACACACTTGAATCTGGAATGAAAGGAAGAGCAAAGTGTATGAAGTTCTTGCAAACAGATTTCCTTCTTAAATGATGTGGATATACTTGATGAAGAATCCATGAAGACAGCCAAGAAACTAGTGCAGGTTTATCTCGATGACTTAAAGGCAAACCTTTACAGAGAAGTGCAACAATTTCATTCTTACATAAGAATTAAGCTCACAGATTCAAGAAAGACAAATTTTACTCATGTAGGCATGTGTGATTTCATAATAGAAGAGAAAATATAATGTGTGTTTTCCAACCTTGAAATTGCTTTTTGTATATTCTTAACTTTAGTGATTACAAACTGCCCAACAGAACACTCATTTTCATCCCTAAAGAGACTCAAAAACTCTCAGCATATGATGAGTCAAGAAAGATTCAATTCATTATCCTTATCACGTGTGAAAGTAGACATTTCTTGGCAGCTTACTTGTGATGAAATCATTGAAGAATTTGTAAGAGCAAAGAATAGAAAGGAATATTTTTTTATTATAACACGTTAGAGATGAAAGATCTATCTAAATATAAAATACCAGTATCCCCTGCTTTTCGAAACTTTGCTTGACACCACTTGGCTTTTATGAAATGCCTACATTAGTACCTGTTTTCACTGACCAAAAGAAATCCAAAGAGTATTTTCGCTTTTATGAAAAAAGGTGAAAAGGGAAACTAGTGTTCAGCATTCATTTTACAGAAAGCCGTTAAGGACAAAACTCACAGCCCAAGGAGCAAGACTGGCCTCACCAAGCTCCTTCCTGGGCGCTCCACTCAGTCAGCATCAAGCCATCGTAGCTTTGAACTGTGTCTATGAACATTGTATGTTAGTGTTATTTTGGGTTTTATGTGTTATTTATGGGATTTGGTAGGTTATTTTTTGGGTCTGGGAACACTACAAAAATTTCCCATATAAATTAGTGGTAATTGCTTCTTTGCTTTATACCATTTTGGTTTACGAAAAGTTCATAGGAGCACTCTGCTTTCAGATAGCAGGGGAAGCTTGTATAGTAATTTGGGACACTATAGGTTATCAGTGTTTAGTGTTCTTTCATGCCTTAATCCAGCCCTGTTTGTTGTTGTTGTTGTTATATGCCATCGAGTCGGACCCGACTTATAGCCACCCCTCCTTGGGTTTCCAAGGCAGTATCACTACAGAAGTAGATTGCTCAACCTTCCTTCCAAGGAGTGGCTGGTGGGTTTGAACCGCCAGCCTTCTGGTTAGCAGTCAAGTGCCTTAGGCACTATGATACCAGAGCTCCAGCCCTGTTTAGGACACATAGTAAATGGAATATAAGCTGTTACAGTGGGGATGATGCTGTTTTAACAGATTTGCTCTGTTTGCTTCATGGAGAATGTATTAACTTGTACTGAAAGACAAGTTAGGAGTCTAGGTGCAGTGCACTCCTACATTTTGGCTACTAGGGACAGAAGCCAGGGTTCCTGCTCCTAGTGGTTCAGGGTCCAGTTAGGGAGAGAGAAACAGAGTGATGGTGTGAGGGGAGTCTGAGGAGTGCCCCTGATTCTGACTAGGAGGGGATCTGGAGGTAGAGAAAGCCAGGTGTGGTAGTTAAGTTTGTGTGTCAGCTTGGCAGGGCCTGGTTGAGTGGCTGGGCAGCTGTAGTATTCCCCACGATGAGACTGGCAATCAACTCCATGGTGGAATCTACTGTGAGCAGCTGAGTAGCTGCCTTTGGGTATGTGGTCTGCTTCCTGTATAGAAGAAACAACTTTGTGAATGGTCTCTAGCATATGGCATGCTTGGACCCTGTATGTAGCTGTGTCGTTGTTCAGCAGCCTGCCATGCTCTGCTGACCTTGGGACTTACAATGGACTTGAATTAATGGCCTGCCATGTAGTTTGGTAACATCAGGACTGTGCCATTTTATTTGTCGACCTTGGGCTTGTTAGCCTTAGTACCCAGTAGCTGCCTGAGTGAAGAGATGCGTCTAGCTTTAGTGGGTCGGGAGCAAGAGGCAGAGCTGAAGCCCAAGATCGAGGGGCTTTCACCTGGGCCCTAGAGGCTGGCACTTTGAACTCGCACTTCTAGCCTCCCGAACTGTAAGAGAATAAACTCCTATTTGTTAAGGCCATCCCATTTGTGGTATATTCTTGTCAGAGCAGCACTAGGTAACCAGAGCACCAGGCAAGGCTTGCTGAAGCGGGTTTGACTCCTGAAGGGTGATCAGCAGTTACCCAGGTGGGGAAGGTGCACTGGAGTGGGAAGCAGAGAGGGAAGCGTATTCTAAGCAAAGGGAACAGCATATGCAAAAGTATGAAAGCAAGCAAGCGCATGACATGATCCTTGAAGAGCAAATGACTTGGTGCGGCTGGAATGCCAGGTGTGGGGTCAATAATTAATGTTTGAGGAAGGAGGGAGGGAGACACAAGTCTGCATTTTGTTTGAGGACGTTACAAGTGTAATGCAAATGCTGTGACCTCTGTCCAGGTGTGGATCGTGTGTGAAGGACACTGCTTTAAGGTGGCCGTAAATGGCCAGCACCAGTTGGAATACTACCACCGCCTGAAGGACCTGCAGGCCATCAACAACCTGGAAGTGGCAGGTGACATCCAGCTGACCCATGTGCAGACATAGCGAGACTCCTGGGGACACGGCTGGGGTGCACTGCTGTCTGAATCTCTCATCATTCACCCACATCATTCCTGCCCCAGCCCAGTTCAGCCCTTCCCACCCTGCCTGGGACCCGGGACTTTTCTGGAAACCATGCCTTTGTGTGAGCCCGTGTCAGGCTGCAGCCAGCCTGCAGGAGGAATACAGCTAGTTGCAGGGCCTTCCTCAGCCAGCAGTGCCTGAGGTGCCAGCCACCCAAATCCTACCATCCAAGGAGAGAGGCGCAGCTAGGGGTCCTCTGTGCGGGCTGAGTCCCTATGTTCGGCCCCTGGGCAGGGGGCAGGAGCCTGAGCCTTCCACACTCCCTGCGCAGACCTGCATCTCCTCATCTCGCTCTGACCACATCCAGCCCCCACTGAGCTCCTCCCCAATCTCTAAGCCACCAACTGTGCAATCAAGGTGGGAGCTGATTTCAGCCCCTTTCTTTCTTGACCTTTAACCTACTCCCTCCCCCTGCACCTCCTTCAGGAACCCTATTCTGGTGACACTCCACCAACCTCCACCAAACTGACCTGACCCTTCCCAGTATCACTGAAATTTTTTAAAAAAACGCTTGCTGTTGCACGGAACGACTGGTTATTAAATGTGTTTGAAGACATTTGAGGTTCTCTGGATTTGGGGGGCTCAGGCCAAGAAGAGTGGAAGGTTGGAATAGGAGCTGGCTTTGAACAGATGGGGGTCCTGACATCCATGCCTGCTCCCTGGGGGCACCTTGCAAATCCAACACAGGTGCTGGGAGAAAGCAGGTGGGGTTTAAGGACTCTTGGGCAGGCGTCTTAGGTGGAAGAAGCCTGGACACCGAGGGGGACCCCAGAAACAACCCCATGCTTCTGAAATGGGCACAGGGCTGAGACAAGGGCTGGAGGGAGGGCCAGGGAACCAGATTCCAGGGGCAGCTCATCACACCCCCATGTCCCAGTGGGAGGAGGGGAAGGTGGGTCTGGAGAAGCTGCCTGGGAGAGCCTGACTGTGTTCTACTGTGTGTCTCCTTGGCATCAGGGCTTAGGGCGTGCTTGGGGAGAGTAGCTCAGGGTGAGGGGTTCTGCCAGCCACTGAGCCAGGACACTCCTCTGTGTCCATGGATTCCCCACAGCCTACTAACCCCATCAAGAAGCCAGTTCATTGAGAAACCATGGTGGGGCTCCAAGTGTGGTCCTTGGACCAGCAGCATTGGCGTCCCCATGGAGCTGGCTAGAAATGCAGTCTTGGGTGCCATCCCAGACCCACTGAATCAGGCTGCATTGTAACAGCAGTGAGGACTAGCTGTCAATACACTGCTGTCAGTCAGGGCACAGACCTGGCTCACCAGAGGCTGCCCTGTTCATGTGGAGGCTGGCATGCCCCTGGCCCCCACCCTTCCTCACCCCAGTGGAGTAGCAGCTGCCAGAAGCTGGGGCACAGAAGCGAATGAGGGGGCCTGAGCCTCCTTGAGATCTTGTCAGCCCCCCACTTGGCCCCGGGCTGAGCTCCTTCCTTGGTTCTGATTGGAAGAAGGGCACGTGGCTCAGTTCCTGAAAACCTTTCTCCACTGGTTACATACAGAAAGAGCCTGCATCTCTTGGATGTGGGGACACATGCCCTGCCTTTCACAGCCTCATCCTCAACATACAGCCAGACCTCACCTGTGTTAATGGCCAAGCTCTAGTGAAACACGTGGCCCCAGAGCACAATATGGTGACTTTCTAAGCCAGGCTGAGGTCAAGGCCTTCCTGAAGGAATTGGCATCATACACAGAATCCCAGCCCTCGCTATAACCTCACGTAACTGCTCTCTGTGAGGCACAGTTCAGACGCCCCAGAGGCAAGCCTGCGCCCCCTCCCTCCCTCCCACAGGTTTTCAGATGAGCGCGAAAATCCATCTCTATACCTGGGGGCCACTTCAGAGACACAGCCTTGACCTGGTAGGTATGTCCCTTTGTCCAGGCTGTGGCAGCCCCCGCTCTATACAATTAGGACCTCTTTCTCTACAGAACACCAACACATACACACATAGTATGGTTAAAATAAAATACATTTTATATAAATATTTCCATCAAGGAATCATATAGGAAGGGCCCAAGTGGCCCTCAGGAGCAGACTGGGGTGTTTCTTCTTTTAAATACAGAGCATAAATAACCGTACAAAGGGTAGATAAATACAGTGTAGAAAGCGCCTCCTGGCGGCCATTCAGAATGGTGGCATCAGAGGAAGATTCCATTCTCTCGCCCACTTGCCAGGCTGGGCATTGCAGATTTATCTTAAAGAGACCAAAGAGGTCCCAATTCTCTGTTATCCCGGGATGGGTGGGCTCAAAGCAAAGAGGAGGCTCCAACCAGTCCAGGCTGCTACTTGGTAGCTGGTCAAGTAAAGGGCTTGGGAAGGAAGGGAAATGAGACATGAAGTTTAGGGGTATCATTCCCTCCATCTCCTCAAGCCCTGTGATAGCGGATAACTGGAAGTTGAATTCATTACTAAATTCCATGCTGGTGGCTTTAACTTGTCTTGTGGGTCGTCAGAGCTCTGGGATCGCTGGGCTGGCCTGCCGCCCTGTCCTTTTTCACCTCATAGGGAAATACAGCACCAAAGATATCTTCATGATAGCGCTTCTGGCTCTTGAAGGGAAACAGAGACCCTGTGTCAGCTCTGCTGGCCCAGCCATCTTTCATTCATCAGGTCCAGGCCAGAGTGAGTCCCTGCACTTGCCCCGACTCCCCAACCACAAGTTCATTCATGAGCCATTCATTTGTGACTGCCATGCTTAGACTACACTCAAATTCATTTGACTGCTAACCAGAAGGCTGACAGTTCAAACCCACCAGCCACTCCTTGGAAGGAAGATGGGGTAACCTACTTCTGTAGAGATACCACCTTGGAAACCCAAGGAGGGGTCGCTATGAGTTGGAAATGACTCGATGGCAGTGAGTTTTTTTTTTTTTTTTTTTTTTTTTTTTTAGTCTCCCTCTGGTGGCACTGTGGGTAAGGCATTTGGCTGCTAACCAGAAGGCTGATGGTTCAAACCCAGCAGCTGCTCCACAGGAGGAAGATGAGGCAATCTACTTCCATAAAGATTTACAGCCCTGGAAACCCAATGGGAGTCACTATGAGTTGCAATTGACCAGATGGTAGTGGTTTGGTTTTAGTGGGTTTAGCCTCCCTCAGGCTTTATGACCTGGGGAGTTTCTCATACCTACCCAGCACTGGTCCCACAAGATGCCTCAGGAAACAAGAGTGCTGAGATCAAAAACATTTGGGAAATCCTGTGAACTGTGTGGTGTAGTGAATTACTTGGTATGGCTTTTCTAGCCATGGTCTTTTTGATTCCCACTGGATTACCAGATGAGACCATCCAAATAAGTGTATGGAACTCTGATGTTGGGAAACACTTGTCAATGCACTAAATACATTTTAGGAAGTACCTGTGATCTCTGGCACCAGAGGAGCTCTAAGGACCTCTGGTGGCATAGTGCCTAAGACATTTGACTGCTAACCAGAAGGATGGCAGTTCAAACCCACCAGCCACTCCATGGAAGGAAGACTGGGCAGTCTACTTCCGTAGTTTTACCTCCTCAGAAACCCAGTGGGGGCCGCTATGAGTCAGAACTGACTTGATGGCGATGAGTTTGTTTTTTGGTCTTTGTGGTCTCCACGCTGTTCTTCAAACATGCCCGACTCCCACCTCAGGGCCTCTGCGTCTGCTCTCCCTCCACAGCAGCTTGCCACTGTTTCCTTCAAGATCCCAGGACTGACTCCTCACCACCTTCGGGGGTTTTTCCCCCAAATATCATCTTCTTGATGACACCTGCCTCAACCACCCTATTTAAAACTACACCCCTCAACTCATCATGGCCCGCTTCTTGCTTCATCTTTCCCAAGCACCATGCATTTTCCTTGTTTTATTTCTTATGTGTCAACCTCACTAGAAGGTAAGCTCCATCCAGGCAAGAATTTTTGATCGTTTGCTATAGCCCCATCACATAACAAACCAAACTCACCGCTGAGTTGGTCCCAATTCATAGCGACCCCTCCTTGGGTTTCTGAAGTAGTATCTCTACAGAAGTAGATGGCCCAATCTTCCTTTTGAGGACTGGCTGGTGGGTTTGAACCACCAGCTTTCTGGTTAGCAGTCAAATGCCTTAGACACTACACCACCAGAACTCCATCACATCCAAAACCCACTGCCGTCAAGTCGGTTCTGACTCATAGTGACCCCTCCTTGGGTTTCCAAGGTAGTATCACTACAGAAGTAGATTGCCCCCTTCCTTCCGAGGAGTGGCTGGTAAGTTTGAACTGCCAGCCTTCTGGTTAACAGTCAAATGCCTTAGGCACTATGCTACCAGAACTCCTCCATCACACAGTAGGTGCTTAATAAATATTAGTTGAATGAACGAGTGTGACTTAGGGAGGGACAGAAGGGGTAAGCACTGGCTCTCTGGCCCTGCACCAGCAGCCCACACACCAACTGCCATACCTTGAGCTGGAAGAAATAGTCTTCAATCTGTTCCTCACTCAGGCTCAGCTTGACAGCCACCAGCTGTTTCAGGGTGTGTGCCACGTCCCGCGCCATGCGCACATCCCCACAGATGTAGAGGTGGCCCTGCTCTTCCTGGAGCACACGGAACACCTCGCCAGCCAGCTGCTGCCGCAGGATATCTTGAACATAGACCTAAAGCCAGGGGAGATGGTGAGCTCTGCCCATAATCCCTGAGTCCCTGCCAATGGGAGAGGGCTTACAGTGAGCAGCTGCTGGCTGCAAGGAGCGTGTGAGGGGTAGCTTCCCTCCCAGCCAGGAGCTTGCATGGGAACCAGGCACAGGAAAAGGAGGTACACTAACACCCTGCCCAGGATGGGGCTGGGGATGCAGAGATGAACGCTGTACGAGGTGTTGCCCTCGAGGAGCTAATACCCTAGTGGGGTTCCCAGCCTTCTCTGAATTCACTATGCTCCACAGAGGATGAGTCAAGCCAGTTCTCCCACCCAGGCTCTGAGACCAACCTGCCCACATCCCCTCCAAAAAAGAAAATGGAGTCCCTCAACGTAGAACATCTGTCAGATCCCTGCTGTTATTTGAGGTGGAAGCACAGAGCCCAGGCTCCCTATTATTCAGAAGGTCTAGGGGTCAGATGGGGACACTCTGCTCTTGTTCTGCACCTCATTACCCTAGCACAGGGCAAGGGCTCTGGGTTCAAGAGGACCTCTGATGGAATATGTTCATGAGGGCTAAGCTGAGAGTCTGTTCCAACTCTCCAGGCTCACAGGACAAAACACCCCACAGGGCAGGAGCCTCCCTCCACCTTGCTGTGTTTTGAGCATGAAGCCTGGACCACTTCTCCCAGGGCAGTTGTGTAGCCCAGGGGTGTTGCTGGGGACCTGAGGTGGCAGGCTGGATACTGGAGATCAGCTCTCCTTGTGACCGACCCTGTGGAAGTCTGCCATTTCTCTGGCCTGTCCCATCCGGAAAAGTGGGCATAAGGATCTTCACAGCATCATTCTGATGTTTCTATAATCACCCCATTTTAGAGCTGAGAAGATGGAGGTTCAGAGAGGTGAGAGGGCTCTTATGAGGCCAGGCCACAGCTGGGGTCTGTGCTTTTTTGGCTCCACCCACTGAGCAGGCAGCTGCTGCCTTTACCTTGGGCCGGTCTGGTAGGCGAGAATAGGCTGTATACACCTCCTGCAGCACTCCCTTCTGGGACATCTCCAGCATCTCCTCCCGATAGAGGTGGTCTTTGTCGGGGTGGCGGCATCCAAACACCAGGGTCATGCGGCCTCCCTGAAGCCCTGCAAGACCAAGAAGGCTGCAGTTACCATGATGGCCACCAGAGGGCGGGCCATGGTTCAAGGCCTGACCTTGCTGGGCGCCCAAGTCTTCTCATCTCATCCACGCATTACCTTATCCTATCTAGTAGGAAGGAGCTCTGGTAACATAGTGTCTAAGGCACTTGACTGCTAACCAGAAGGCTGGTGGTTCAAAGCCACCAGCTACTCTTCGGAAGGAAGGTTGGGCGATCTACTTCTGTAGTGATACTGCGTTGGCAACCCAAGAAGGGGTCGCTATGAGTCAGGGCTGACTCGACGGCACATAACAACAACAACAACATCTAGTAGGAGGAGTCCCTGGGTGGTGCAAAAGGTTTGTGCTTGACTACTAATCAAAGGGTTGATGATTCAAACCCACCAGAGATGCTTCAGATTAAATGCCTTACAATCACTTCCAAAATGTCCAACCCTGGAAAACCCTATGGAATGCAGTTCTATTCCATAGTCTCATGGGGTTGCCACAAGTTGTTAGATGGCAACAGGTTCACCTAGCAGTTTCCCAGCTAGTATTATCTTTATTCCACAGATGAGGAAACTGAGGCCCAGAGCTTTCAGATCACTTGTCCATGATCACACAGAGGATTCCAGTTCAACCCATCAGAATTCAAAAGCTGGGACTGGAGAAAGAGCCTTGGCTGGTTCTAATGTGGAAGACAGAGGAAGATGGAAATTCTAACTCCATAGGGGCCCACAAGGGCTGAGGCAAAGCCAGGACATCTTCACCAGGAAGAGGGGCCAGGGGGAGGGCTGGTGGCACAACTGGCTCTTGCTCCAGTTCTCCTTCCACAGGCCACCCTTGTGCCCCTTCCCAATCTGGGAGCCTTGGGTTGTACCTTTGTGCTCGATGTCATGGAGCCGCTGCTGCCAGAAACTGCGAAAGGGGGCAATGCCCGTACCAGGCCCGATGAGGATGCAAGGCTGGGTGGGGTCCTCAGGGAGCTGGAAGCCACTGGCACTGAAGGGGATGGAGGGAGAAAGGCCTAGTTCTCAGACACCCTGGGCCAGATGCACATGCAGCTCAGGGCCGGGGGGGCTGGGGTGGGGTGGGGGGGCATGGCTGGGGGGGTGCCAGGGTTGGGTTGGGAGGAGAGGACAGTGAGCTCAAATTTGATTTCCAGAATCTGGAAAACTGCTCCATTTACCCTGCTGAGGTATGCCATCACCTCCTTCTGGAGTCTTTTGAAAAAGGGCCGATATTCATTGTTCTCGGCCCCACCAGCCTGCCTCCATCACTAATCCTGCTAGCAATTCAGCCGTACTACAGTCAGGGAACAGACTGGAGATGCCAAGTGTGACCTCAGTGCCTTCTGTATGGGCCGGGGGGCACCCAAACTCCAGATTCCTCCCTTTCACCCCACAACTCTCAGGGGCCTGTGGCCCCACAGAGGGGAGAGTGGGGGTGGTGCTTACCTGCGCACAAAACAGGGCACTGGATCTTGGAGCTTCAAGTTGCTGAGCCAAGTACTGCAAACGCCATGGTGCAGGGCACCCTGGCCGTCTGTGAGGACAGGCACAAACCTGATCATCAGTCTCTCAGTCTCTCTCACTGCCCATGCTTGAGCTGTACCAGCTACCCCTCCCACAGGGATATGCCTCCTCCTACTGCCCCACTCAGGCCCTCAGAGGGCTTCATGGAGGAGGGAGGTACATGGAGGGAGGTGGATCTGAGATCCACCCCTCTGTACACTCAGAGCCAGTGAGAGCTGGCAGGGACTGACTGTCTCTAAGTCAGAAACTAAGTCTCAGAGAGGAAATGTGACTTGTTGCTCTGATCGTGGCAGGATAAGTTTGACAGTTCAGGTTGCTACCTCCTACTCCAGTGTTCCTCCCCAAAGAATTTTTCAGGGATCCTCCTAGCCCATGACTCAGCTCTGCTGACAGCAGCAGGAAGTGGCCTCTCAGGGTTGACCACAGTCACGAACCCTGATGGTCCTCACCAGTGTCTCCCTTGCTGGTAGGAGCCCTGGGTGATGGGCAAATGGATGACATTCTGCATTCCAGCCTGCTCTGACAGCTCACTTTCTCTCCCAGTGGCCTCTGGGCTTGGGGAAACCCCAGCTTTCTCTGGGTTATACTTCCTCCCCAATGATCTGGCATTTAAAGGAGACCTCCAACCAACTTGAGAAGTCCCTTTGGTTTTCTTCTGGACTGAATCTTGCTCTTACAGGATATGCTTGCCTCTCCATTCCTGGTCTGAGGACTGAGCCTTACCAGTGTGGATGCCTCCAGCCCAGTAGATAAAGAGACTTCTCCCAGTTTTTAGAAATGGTTATTGTGTTTCCCAGAGCACAAAGGCCTGGGCTACTGAGGTGTGGGCCAGCTCCCCAGCTGTGTCAACCCAGGCAATGCTCAGTTACAGTGGACACGGAAGGGTCACAGTTCATCAAGTGGAGGGGCCAAGTCGGACAAGAGTCTGGGGTCCCGGTCTATGACGGTCCCACCCCATTCTCTGGCCTCACAGCTCCCTCTGCTTTCCTTCTTAGCACCTACATAATGACAAATATCTCATTATTTCTAGGAGTATCTCTTCACTGGCCCCTCCAGACTGGAAGCTCCATGAGGGCAGGGGCTGTGCCTGCTACACTTCCATAAACCACCAAAGTGCCAAACAGAGAAATAAATCATTACTAAATGACTGAGTACATGAATGAGTAATTGATGGAGAATCCCCCTGCCCCATTGCTGGATGGTCAGGAAGACTAAAAATCATCAGGCTTCTACTAAGTATCAGGTGCTTTCCACTTAAGCTCTCATTAACGTCTCCCAACAGTAGAACGAGGCACTGGGTGGTGCAAATGGCTGAGTACTCAGCTGCAACCTTAACCCTAAGGTTGGCAGTTTGAATCCACAGAAGCTCATCAGAAGAAAGGCCTAGTGGGCACAAGCCTGAAAACCCTATGGGGTGCAACTCTTCTCTTAGGCCCTCAAAGGACTATTAGGAATTCTGGTGGCATAGTCCCTAAGGCGTCTGACTGCTAACCAGAAGGCTAGCCTAGTTCAAACCCACCAGCCTCTCCTTGGAAGGAAGGTTGGGCAATCTACTTCTGTAGTGATATCACCTTGGAAACCCAAGGAGGGGTCCTTATGAGTTGGATCTGACTTGACAGCAGTGAGTTTGGTTTTGGTTTAACAGTAGAACAGGCAGAGTAGAGTGGTTAAGAACTTGGACTCGGGAGTCAGACTTCTAGGGTTAAAATATCAGCTCTCTACTTACTAAAATGTGACAATGAACAAGTGGCTTAACCTCTCTGTGCTCAGTTTCCTCACCTGTGAAATGCACATAGCACCCATCTCATTGGGCTGTTGATTGTACACACAGTGCCTAGTGCATAGTGACCTCCCACACCCCACCCACTATTATTACCAGCTTTAAGAGGTAAGCATCCACACTCCTATTTAACCAATGAAGAGACTGAAGCTCACGGATATTGAATAGCTGCCCAGGAAATACCAGAGCTGTGATTTGAACCTGGTGGGACCGCTTCAAAGCCCAGCACTCACCTCGGGTGCGGTATGTGACCACGGCTACAGTGAGGTGGACCTCTGTGGGAGTGTGGTCCTGGGAGGAGCTGATGGAGTAGTACCGGGGTTTCAGAGTGGGGAGCTGGGAGAGTAGGAAGCTAGCAGATATTTGCAGGGACGGGAACTCCTCAAGAACTTCCAGGAACGTAGGGCTGTTGGCGAACTTCCACTTGTTGTACTCTGAGGGCTGAAAGCCAAGAGCAGTGTGAGGGACCCTGGGCACCTATCCCAAACCTGGGGAGGAGGCTGCCATCCAGTATTCTTGCGTTCTTTCATTCACTCAACAAACATGTCAATGTGCTAGACGCTGTCCAGGGTTCTGAGACAACCAAGCTCGAGAAGGAAATAGTTCTTATCCTTGAGGAACTCAGTCCAAAGAGTAGTGTTTCTCTAACTTAGGTGCTTAGAACGTCACTGTGTGGGCAAAGGTTAAATCTCTGTATGTCTACAATCATCTAATTTGGGTCAGGACTGTGGCATCACACAGACCTGGCTTCAAATCTCAGCAGGATGCCCTCACTAGCTGTGGAAACATCTTCCAATTAATTAATCTTTGTGAAATGAAGACAGTATTGCCTATCTTGTGGGGATGCTGTGAGAATTAAATGAGAAAATATATGTCAAGTTAGTACAGTGCATCCACAGAATAATGGTGGTGGTGGTTGGAATCAAGCTAATTAGCAATAATGATGATGATAATCATTATCTCCAGTGCCTTTTGCAAAGATTTGGACCCAGAAAATTGCAGGTGAGCTAATTCATCTTCTCATTAGTTTATTAATTCAACCATCCGTCACTACATTCATTTATCCATTAATTCCCACCATCCATCCTCCAGCACTTCCAACATTCCAGGCCTGTCCCAGGTCTTGGGAATATACAGACAGACAAGACATGGTGGCTACCCTTTTCTAGCTAGCTCCTAAGAAAGTGCACTGTGGGTGCATCTTGCAGACACATGGAATAATTCAGTTTACTCCACACAACTATGTCCTAGAGATGGTATGGGAGATGCTGTCTGGCTTTCTATCAGTCTTTGACAAGTCTCTCTTTAGGGCTCTGGGCTTCGAGTGCCCCATCCCCACCCACCAGCCCAAAACTTCACCTGGCACAGGGCCTCCAGCCTCTGTCTCTCAGCCTCTTCCGTGGCCAGTGGGGTCAGCTTTCGGAGCAGCATCTGGGTTGGAGGTGTGGTGATGTCCAAGAAGTAAGTGAGGGCCTGCCTGAGTGAGCAGGGAGGCAATCTCTTGTCCCTGACCCAGTAGCTGCCTGGAAATGGAAAGAAGTCAGGATGCATAGAAGGCCCAGTTTGGGCTTCTTATGGGTGTTGAAGCCTCTGAGGCCAGATACTCTCCATTTCCCAGCTTCAAGGGAAGGAAGATTCCAAGATTCTGGCTCTAGGAATACTAAAATGTAGAAAGGAGGTGATGCACCAAATTTGACATGACCCTGATGACGTAGCCATGGTCCAGAGTCCAGACCCTCTCTAGCCTAGGCTGGAATGTTAGCAGGATACCCACAATGACTAAATACACCAAAGACTGATGTATACCCCAGAGGCCCATGCTTCTAATCCAGTCACTTTCTGGTGTGCTAGACCAAGAGGTGCTGTCTCAAGATAAACTTCAGCCCAAACTGAGGTGCCAAGTCTCAGGGAATATACAGTTTGCAAAATGCAGTAGGCAAGATGGTCACAGCATGAACTCTGGAGTCAGCTGACCCAGGTTCAAAATCTGTCCCCTCCTCAAAGGGTAACTGAATCTTCTGAACCTTGGGTTCCTTCTTTGTCAGATGGATCTGACAACAAAACCTATCTCACTGGCTTTGCATGAGTATTGAATGAGATAACGCATATGAAGTACTTACATAGTGTCTGGTACACAGTAGGTGCTCAATAAATGTTAGGCAAACATATTTGTGTCATTATTATCATGATTTCATCTAGACCTGTGTCCTGATGAACCATGTCTGTCTCTCTAAAGTCATGAGGACATTCCTGCCCCTTGTCCCCAAGCTTCAGGCTTCCTTGCTCTCCTGGACAGTAGAGGACATTGCCAGACTTCGCTCCTCTGTCCCCCACTTTCCTGTGTTGACCATCCTGTTTGTTGTTGTTGTTGTTATGTGCCGTCGAGTCGGCCCCGACTCATAGCGACCCCTCCTTGGGTTTCCGAGGCAGTATCACTATGGAAGTAGGATTGCCCAACCTTCCTTCTGAGGAGTGGCTGGTGGGTTTGAACCACCAGCCTTCTGGTTAGCAGGCAAATGTCTTAGCCACTATGCTACCAGAGCTCCCACCATCCTGTTTAGGGGGATACATACTTTGGAGATGTCATTACTAAGGCCAGGGGACTATTCCTATGGGCTGGGAGGCCTATGCTGTGCCACTGTCCTTAGTTTATACCCCCTAGCACATGTCACCCCCATGCTGTCTCTGCCACATGGAGACTGATGGCCTGACCTTTGTACAAGAAAAGAGTGCTCCGGGCTCTCTCTGGAAAATATGTTTTCTCCCCAGTGGGGATGGCCAGGAGCTAGCTACACTCTCTTCTGGTCACCTATGGACTCCCCTGTCCATCATCAGGGAAGGTGGGGATAAATGAGACCATTGGTAGGACCAGTACCAGTTGCCATTGAATAGATTCCAACTCATGGCAACCCCATGTGGGTCAGAGCAGAACAGTGCTCCAAAGGGTTTTCAATGACTGATTTTTTCAGAGGTAGACCAGCAGGCCTTTCTTCTGAGGCATTTCTGGATGGACTTGAACTTCCAAACTTTCAGTTCCCAACCAAGTACGGTAACTGCACAATCCAGAGACTCTATATTTAATTAGCCTATGTGAGACAGACAATCTTCCGTTCCTGCCTTTATTGGTGCCAGAAATTGTAGTGAAGGCTACTTATGTATCAACCCATGTGATCTTCACAACAACCCTACAAGGGTTGTATTATCTCTATTTTACAAACAAGGAAATAGAAGCCTAGAGAGGTTAAGTCATATGGCCAAGGCCACATAGCTAGTAAGTGATACATGACCATCCAACTTCAAAGTTCACCATCTTTCTTGGACACCACCCATCTTTATCCCATCACTAATCCAGCTGCAGGCCTGTGTCTATTATGAAGACTAAAGAGATAATGCGTAGAAAATGCTGGCCTATATTAACTATCCAAAAAATGCTGGCATATAATAACTACTCAAAAAGAAATGTAACAAATTATTATTTTTATTATCATCATCTTATTGTGTATTTGGGGGTGAGCTGAGGGCAGACTCTAAGCCTCCTTAATTTTTTTTATCCAGGGCCTGTCTAGTATATAGATATGAGTGGTTATAATTTGGACCGAAAATAAATGAATCTGTCAACAAAAAC